GACACCGCACGAGTCGATGGGTGTGCGACTGCGAGGGGAGTGGTGGGAGGTGGTACAGGGAGGGGCCGTGGTTCAGTGGACGAGCCCCTGCATTGCATACAGAAGGTCCCAGGTTCGACCCCCGGCATCTCGTTAAATAGACCAGACGGTAGGTGATGTGAAAGACCTCCGCCTGAGACCCTGGAGAGCTGCTGCCGGTTTGTGTAGACAGTATTGACCTTGATGGGCCAAAGGTCTGACTCAGTATAAGGGTGGCTTAGTGGAAGAGCCTCTGCTTGGCATGCAGAAGGTCCCAGGTTCAATCCCCAGCATCGCCATATAAATGGACCAGACAGTAGGTGATGGGAAAGACCTCCACCTGAGACCCTGGAGAGCCGCTGCCATTCTGAATAGATGACACTGACCTTGATGGACCAAAGTTGGGGAGGGGGCGTGGCTCAGTGGTGGAATATCTGCTCTGCATGCGGAAGGTCCCAGGTTCAATCCCCGGCATCTCCAGTTGAAAGGACCAGGCATTACGTGATGGGAAAGACCTCCACCTGAGACCCGCTGCCAGTCTGAGTAGACAATACTGACCTTGATGGACCGAGGGTCTGGTTCAGTACAAGGCAGCTTCATATGCATTTTTAAGGTGGGGTACACGGCTCAGTGGCAGAGCATCTGCTCTGTGTGCAGAAGATCCCCAGCATCTCTGGCGGAGTCCCTGGCATCTCCGCTGTAGAGGACTGGGCAGTAGGCCACGTAAAGGACCTCCGCCTGAGACCCTGGAGGGCTGCTGCCAGTCTGAGTAGACAACGCTGACCTTGATGGACCGAGAGTGTTTGTGGCTGGGGGCTTCAAAGCTGTCCCCAAGTCACTGTTCCCCAGTGCTTGTTATCAGCAGTGGCAGGCAGGCAGGCAGGCAGGACTGCTGTATGCGCCTGCATGCAAATTCGTGCATGGGAGCAAAGGGAAGTGTGTGACTCCCCTTGGTGTGTGCCCTTGCAGTGAGAAGTGCGTCATTTTGTGACTGCCGCGCACATCCTTGTGTATTTATCCTGACACCACGTCTGTGCCTCATCATTTAATATCTAGGTATCCTTCTTAAAGGGGAGAAAGGGCAGACGGATCGGTTGGGTACCCATCCCTGCCAGCCCTATTGGACCCCTTGGTCTCCCCATCCCTGCCAGCCCCAGTGACCCCCTTGGATGACCTTCTTCCATCTCCGGCATGGGACGCCCACCAGGTATCTCCACCTCCTCCAGAGGTCTTCTCTCAGATTTGGTCTCCTCCTGCAGGGGGCGCCCCTCCGATTTCACCTCCTCCAACTCCTTGGTCTCCGGGGTGGGTCCCTCACTGCCACTCGTCTCTGCCTGATCTTGATAGGTGAAATCCAGGCTGTTGGGAGAGACGGGGAAGCTTGTGTGATCCTGCCCTGGCCAGGCCCGTAGCTACTGTGGGGCTTTTGGAAGCTCCGCCTCCTTTCTTAAAGGCACAGCCCCACAAGAATTTCTCCTGTAAGTGCTTTTTTCAATCATTTTTAAAACATTTTTTTAAAAGCATGCGCTCTTTTAAGCAGAGTGGGGTGCTGCAGTTGACTAATTCCCAGATTGAGCAAGGGGGTTGGAGTAGGTGACTTCTAGGATCCCTTCTAACTCTGTGTCAAGGAACTGGTCTCCTTTAAGAGAGTTTTTCTGCCTAAGTATTGGCTTTCTTGACTCTAGAAATCATCACCTCCACCTGCAGGTTTGTTAGGAGAACTGTTCCTTAGGCTGGCAGAAGTGATTAACTTGCAGCAGCTGAGAACTGTCATCTAAAATGGTCAACAGCTGAGAATTTAGAGATCTATCCTGGTAATGGCTTTCTACTGGCTAAATGACTTTTTTTCTGCACTGAGAACTTCTGCCCCTCCAGGGGAAAAAATGGCCGCACAAACCACCAAATCCTGGCTTTGGGCCTGGCCACATCCAGCTTTAGGCTTTCTCTAAGCCACAAGTGTCTATTGGCTTTCTACTACTGTTTAAGAGTACTGTTTCCCTCTTTCCCCATGAGCATTATTTATTGCTATTTACTTCATCCATACCCTGCTTTTCTCCCCAACGGGGACCCAAAGTGGCTTACAACACTCTTCCTCTTCCATTTTATCCTCACAACAAGCCTGCAAGGTAGGATAGGCCGAGAGCCTGTGACTGGCCCAAGGTCACCCAGCCAGCTTCCATGGCAATGTGGGGAATCAAACCCGGGTCTCCCAGATCCTAACAAACCACTGCACCAGACTAGCTGTTTGGGAAGATGCTTAGAATTATTTTGCATCCCTCTACCCTCTTCCTTGGGTATGTGGAATGGGATAAGATAGCCCGATCTCATCAGAGCTTGGAAGCTAGGTTGGGTCGGTACTTGGATGGGGGAGACCACCAAGGAAGACTTTGCAGAGGAAGGCAATGGCAAAAGCTGCCGCGGCTTATTCCCTTGCCTTGAAAACCCTACTATGGGGTCGCCATAAACTGGCTATGACCTGATGGCGCTTTACAACCAAACAGACACACAACCTCGTCGTTTTCTGGAAAAAGGTTCCCAGTTTAAATCTGCAATATGGAATTGCCCTTTCTTGGGCAGTGACTACAGTTTTACTCTAATGCAAGATTAGGTATGTGTCCCCCCCCCCCTCTTCAAGTATGGGGACTGTTTTATATTTGCATACGAGTTCCAGTTCCAGTAAAAACAATTTCTTAGTGTATAACTTTGGGGGGGGGGGTTTGGAGGGGCATCTCACATTCAGGGTTATCTTCCTTTTGAGCAAAGACACTATTTCTGGAATGCCATTAAAAATGGGACACTCAAGCCACTGTGGGCAGACAACTCCTGCCCTAGACGGGCCAGAGAGGAAGTTGGTCTGTCTGGTACGTATTTCTCCCACCCTTCTCTATGGGTAGCGCTTCCTGCCTTTTTAGGAGCAGGCTCCAGGGCAGGACTTAGCAATGTTGAATCCCTGTCCCACGGTTCCCAACGGCACCCAGCCTTGGTCCGGAAAAATCAGAGCCACCCCAAGTGGAGCAGGGCCGTAGTTCAGGGCTGCAGCATCTACAGAAGGTCCCAGGTTCAATCCCTGGCATCTCCCGTGGGTTTTTGGTGTCTTGGGTGAACGATGATGGTAGCGTCTCCCCTTCCAGAATACATACAGAAACCCACCAACTCCTGCTAGTTTGGTGTCGTGGTTAGGAGCGTGGACTCCAATCTGGGAGAACCGGGTTTGATTCCCCGCTCCTCCTCCACATGCAGCTGCCGGTGTGACCTTGGGCCAGTCACAAGTTCTCTCAGAGCTGTTCTCTCAGGAGCAGTCCTTGGAAGAGCTCTCTCAGCCCCACCTGCCTCCCAGGGCATCTGTTGTGGGGAGGGGAAGGGAAAGGAGATTGTGAGCTGCTCTGAGACTCCGAGTGAAGGGCGGGGTATAAGTCCAATCTCTTCTTCCTTCCAATTGCTGCAGTCCTGAGTGAGCTTCATTGTTTAGAGGGGGGTTTTGCCATCAAGTCCCAGCCAACCTTTGGCATTCTCTCCTGGGCTTTCCAAGGAGAGAAATTTTCAGAGGTGGCTTGCCCTGGCCTGCCTCTGTGTAGCAACCCATCCAAATACTGGCCAGGACCAACCCGGTTTAGCTTCCGAGATCTGACAAGATCGGGCTAACCCAGGCTATCCAGGCCAGGGCATGCTTACCTGGGAGTAAATCCCATTGAACGTAGTGGGACTTACTGCTAAGTTGAGCATGCATGGGAGGAATGCTGATCCGGCTCCCTCGCTGCCAGCCTGGTGTAGTGGTTAAGAGCAGCAGGACTCTGATCTGGAGAACCGGGTTTGAGTCCCCGCTCCTCCTCCCCATGAAGCCAGCTGGGTGACCTTGGGTCAGTCACAAGTTCTCTCGGAGCTGTTCTCTCAAGGGCAGTTCTCAAGAGAGCTCTCTCACACCCCACCCTACCGCACAGGGTGTCTGTTGAGGGGAGGGGAAGGGAATGGAGATTGTCAGACTCCTTCGGGTAGTGAAGAGCGGGGCATGACAACCGATTCTTCTTCTTCCTATGATGGCCATTTTGTGGTAGCCATTTTACGGCTGCCCCCACCACATGGTCAGAATTCCAAAGGTACCCTCAGGCCCGAAAAGTCCAGGGATCCCTGCACTAGGCCTGGGTTTCCTAGTAGATGGGCCACCCCTGCCAGGGGTGAATGTAAGTTGGTACGGGCTTGGTACAGAGTCCTGGTGGTAAGAAAGTGGCCTAAATGGTCCCTCCAGTCTCCTCCTCTGAGCCCCCAAGAGCCAGAGTGCTGGTGAGAAAGAAGAAGAGGAGATTGGATGTATACCCCGCCCTTCACTACCCAAAGGAGTTTCAGAGTGGCTTACAATCGCCTTTCCCTCCCCCTCCCCACAACAGACACCCTGTGAGGGAGGTGGGGCTGAGAGAGCTCTTGACAGAAACTGCTCTTGAGAGAACAGCTCTGAGAGAACTTGTGACTGACCCAAGGTCACACCAGCAGCTGTCTGTGGAGGAGTGGGGAATCAAACCCGGTTCTCCCAGATTAGAGTCCACGCTCCTAACCACTACACAGACACTGACATGACCCTTCACCCTGGTGGTCGGTAATGTGAAAGACCGCTAGCCAGAGACCCCGGAGAGCCACTGCCCATTGGAGCAGGCGACCTTGCTAGAGCCAGGGTCTGACTCAGGGTAAGCCCGCTCCATGCATGCATATGGCGACCCTCCCGTCCCCTAGGCTCACCTGGAGGGAGACCCCGAGCTGGGGGTGCTGCTGTCCCTTGGGCTGCTGGATTCGCTGTCCTCGCTGGAGCTGCTCCCCTCCTCCTTCAGCCGGTCGAGTGTTTCCTGGGCCGTCTCGGGGGGCAGGCGGCGGCAGGCCCCCTTCCCTTTGACGGCCCGCTTGATGCCCCGTTCCTCACCCGGATGCTCCCGGAGTGCCTTGACGGCCACCGTCTGCAGGGCCATGGCCTCCTCGTCGCTGGAGTCGCTGGAGGGGGAGGACACGTCCCTTAGCAGCCCCGTAGCCAGAAATTTTGGGTAGGTGGGACATGGGGAAATTTTGTGGGGAAGCAGGGGAGGGAGAGGGGAAGGGAAGGGAGAGGGGCAGCTGCACGCTTTCCCCAAACTCCAAGTGGCAAATTCGCCACTTGAAGTTCAGGCTTGGGCAGCCCGCACTCAAAAAACACCATTTAAAGCAGGGGTGTCAAACATGTGGCCCGGGGGCCGGATCAGCCCCCCGGAGGGCTTCTATCAGGCCCCCAGTGGAACTGGCTGTCTTCTGCTTCTTCCAGTTCTGTTGCTGTAGCGTCATCGTAGGTCTGCAGCTTACAGATACATACCTGAACAGCATACTCAATATTGCAACTGCACAGACATCTTGATGCAATAATTCAGAGCAAGAGGTGTCAGTTATCAGACACTGTCAAATAAACAAAATATTGCAAGAGTGCTGATGTTTTAAGCATGTTTTTATTTTAAGTTTTTTTAAAAAAACCCTTTGTGTTTGTGTCCTTTATGAAGTTTGTATCTCCGCTATGACACACATGGCCCGGCCCAACAAGGTCTCGTTTATGTCAGATCTGGCCCTCATAACAAATGAGTTTGACACCCCTGATTTAAAGGATTCCCTTAAATGGTGTTTTAAACGGTGTTTTTGAAGCAGGGGTTGCCCGTGCCCGAACTCCAAGCAGCGAATTCGCCACTTGGAGTTCGGGGAAGGCAGGCAAGATTTAAAGGGCTCTCTGATCAGCTGGAGGGCCCTTTAAATCTTGGAGGAGTGGAGGGAAAGGGGCGGCTGCAAGATTTAAAGGGCCCTCCAGCTGATTGGCGGGCCATGTGCTTTGCCGATCAGCTGGAGGGCCCTTTTAATGTAATGGGAGAGGGGCAGGAGCTGTTGTAGGGTGTGCCTCACGTTTGAGGGGGCGAAGCCCTGAAATGCCCCACCATAGTTACGGGCCTGTCCCTTAGCATCCTGCCTTGGTACCTGATCGCTGCCCGGGTTTCTCCCATCGGAACGTCTAGGGGAGGCAGGTAACAGGGTTTCCCCCCCTCACTGCCCCGACTGCTCCCCCAAACAGTTCTCCTTTTCTCCACATTGTGCCTCAGTTCCTTGAAAAACATCTCCATTGAGCATCTCAGCTCACCCTATTTACCCCATGGGGGCTCCCTTGAATTTCTTCCCGTCCTCTAAATATTCCTGGTCTTAATATATGTAGTCCCTTCTGTTCTTAGCCCCCACACTGTTGAGATTTTTTTTCTTCCTAGCAACTTTTCCCGCTTCCTCTACACGCCCCGCCATCTTTCGACATTATAAGGCGGGTGGTTTTCCCCGAGCAGCTGGGGTGTTTGTGAACATTCCATGGCACCAAGCTCAGCTTGTGGGGGCTTGCACCCTTGCAACTGAAAGAAAAGGTGCAGGACTTCCTCCTTGGCACACCTAATCCTCAGATAGAGGCAAGGGGGATTCCACAACAGGAATGTACCTATTTATTGGAATGCGTGCGGTGTGAGTTAAGTGTGTGAACAGACACATTTATGCAAATATATCCAGTTTCTACTGGGGTTTTTTCTGGACCTCTCTCTCTTCCGCACTCGCAGCGAACAGCTCCGTCATGCTCTCTGGTGGGTCTGGATTGTGACTAAAGGCCCCTCTTTGCCTTTGGACAGATGGGCATGGAGCAGAGGACGTTACAGTTCCCCTAGATGCCCCTTGATCCTGGGCAAGGAACGCCAACCTGTCTCCTCCTCGTTGCTAACATCTTCATTCCAGCCTCACTGACCTCTCCCCGTTCTCCTGCATTTTCCGGTACTGCCCCGAGATACATTTCTTTACTCACATCTCCTCATCCAGATCTCCCTGAAAGGTTAGGGGGCCCATGCAGATGGAGCAGATGTTGTTCAAGAGCCGGTAGCATTTGGGGCAGTAGATACCTGGGGAGAAAGGGCAAAAGTAGCCTGACATCAACCTGGTTGGGTTCCCCCACCCACCCAGGCCCTCTGTCTGAAAGCCACTGTGATGTAGCCAGGCCTGTAGTGACGGCCTTGCCCCCTTAATTAAAAGCCCCGCCCCCCACAAGTAGCCCTGCCCGAAACCTTATTTTTGAAAACAGCCCCCCCCCCCCCCCGGGCTTATTGGTGTAGTGGTTAAGTGCGCGGACTCTAATCTGGGAGAACCGGGTTTGATTCCCCACTCCTCCACTTGCAGCTGCTGGGTGACCTTGGACAAGCCATAGTTCTGTCAGAGCTGTCCTTGAAAAAAGAGCAGTTTCTGTCAAGAGCTCTCTCAGCCCCACCTACCTCACAGGGTGTCTGTTGTGGGGAGGGGAAGGGAAAGGAGTTTGTAAGCCGCACTGAGACTCCTTCGGGTAGTGAAGGGCAGGGTATAAATCCAATCTCTTCTTCTCTTCCCTCTCCCTCCCACTGTGGAATTTTTTTGGGGGGGATAATGGGACCCAGGAAGAAACAGCTCAGAGGGCATTTAAAGGCCTTCTGAGAGTTCCCTTCTGCAGGGCAAGAAAGCTCAGAAGGTCACACAAGAGGGGCACCTTCAGTACATCTCCCAGAATCCCCCTTTCTGCTAGCCCTGTCCTGCCGTAGACCACCTAGGTCACGGTGAGTCTTTCAGAAGCATTCCCATGAGCCTTTGGGAAACACGAAGGCCATTCAATGTCCTCTGAGCTGTTCTTCAGGCTTGGAGCCTCCCACTTTAAAGACAGGCCCTCGGATTAGTGTCATTAACTAGATTTTAACTGCCCCCTTAAAAATTTAAATACCCTTCGAACAACAACAACAAAATCCTGGCTATGGGCCTGGATGTAGTGGTTAAGGATGTCGGGCTGGGATCTGGGCGGCTCGGGTTCGAATCCTCACTTGTGCCATGGAAACTCGCGGGGCGACACCTGGGCCGGTCACAGACTCTCAGCTTAACGTACCCCACGTGGCGGTTGTGAGGGTAAAATGGAGGCGAGGGGAATGACGTAAGCTGCTTTGGGTCCCTATGGGGGTGACAGGAGGGGTACAAATGAATTTCACTAAATATCTGAAGACCGGGGGGGGGTCCCTGACCAATGTTCCCTCTAAGCTGTGGAGTCTTGTGAGCAAAAATTCTACTTCGTGAGCTACTGGCATTAAAGTTGTGAGCAGGTGATTTGGCTGCTGCATAAATTAGTTTGCTCTGGAGCCATCCTTCCTGAGGTAAGACAAAAAGGTGTGCGCCGGAGGCTGAAAAACAGTGAGCTAGCTCATACTAACTCAGCTTAGAGGGAACTCTGTCCCTGACACCCTGCCTCCTTCAGGCCTAGATGACGTTTTCAGCTGCAGATCTGTACACAGGGGCTGCCTCTCTGCACTGCGCGCACCACACAGCCAAAGAACGGACTTACGAGAGCCCACTGAAGTCCTCTCATCCAGAAATGTGGGTCGCCAGAGGACACTGCCGCCACATGCATCTAGGAAACTGACAAGCACATCATAGAGAGGACGGCTTTGCCCCCAAAGCCTAGTCCTTTAGAGGCAGACTGCCTCAGAACATGGAAACTCTATTTAGCCATTACACATTGAAGGCCCATAAAGGGAGGAATGAATAACGGGGACATCCTCGCCTCACCCGTTGGTACATAATGCTTACTCAGTGCCTGGCTCTGCAGCTGCATGAGGCGGGCAAGGAAGAACTGGGGTCAGGGATCATGCACCCTACCGGGCTCACCCCCCCCCCAACCCTAATATTTCGTTCCCGGACACTATAATCTGTCGCAGGCTCCAGCAAGCTAGCTTCCTGTCCACACCCCCTACAACAAACACAGAGGGCGATAATGCCTCTTTTTTGGGGGAGGGGGATTCCACCTTTCCTAAACATCCATCCACCTAAACAGCATGATAAAAAGTAGAGACATCTCCCTGCCAACAAAAGTCCACATGGTCAAAGCAATGGTATTCCCAGTAGACATGTATGGCTGCGAGAGTTGGACTATAAGGAAGGCCGAGCGCCGAAGAATAGATTCTTTTGAACTATGGTGCTGGAGAAGACTCTTGAGAGTCCCTTGGACTGCCAGGAGATCAAATCAGTCAATCCTAAAAGAAATCAACCCTGACTGTTCCCTGGAAGGCCAGATAATGAAACTGAAGCTCAAATAGTTTGGCCACCCAATGAGAAGGGAGCACTCACTGGAGAAGAAGACCCTGATGCTGGGAAAGATTGAAGGTCAAAGAAAACGGGGACGGCAAAGGATGACATGGTTAGACAGTGTCGTAGATGCAACGAACATGAAATTGAGCCAACTTCAGAGGGCGGCGGAAGACTGGAAGGCCTGGTGTGATCTGGTCCATGGGGTCGCGAAGAGTCGGACTCGACCGTGCGACTGAACAACAACAAATTCCATCTTTTATCTTTAAAAATTACAAATTAATTTTTTTCTATGGAATCCCCCAGCGATGCAAAAGCCTCAGCTTTGGCCAGGGATGTCTGTCTCCTTTTCTCTCCTCCAGGGCTACCACATTCACAATGAGAAGAAGTGTTGTCTTACAACCACTGCTGAACCTCCACACACTTCTGCTGTTCGCTTTGTAACCCGTCCTTAGCCGGCCAGTCTGTTGCCAGAAGATCTTTAATTCTGTTTCATCCCCATCCCAATCTCGCCCCCTTCAAGGCTCTGCTGTCACTTTTCCACTAGGGTTGTCATGCCCCCCGATGGGGGGTCGGGGGTTCCCCCACTTTTCGGGTCCCCAATCCATCGCCGGCTCCCAAAGAGCCCCTTTTGTCCCTGACATGCCCAGCACGGTGATGTCATCGCACTGGGCATGTCACACGGGGGACGCTCTAGCATTTGGCTTAAAATTCTATGGTGACCATAGAGTTTTTGGCCAAATGCTAGAGAGTCCCCTGCACGATGAGCCTGTAGGGTTCCGAAGTACCTCCCTACGATCCGGCGGGGGACACATGCTTCCCCGCCGGAAGATTCTTGCTTGGAACATAGGCGCTGCACTAATCTGTCGCCCAGACGTGACGTAGGCACGTAGCCGGGCGACACTCTAGCAATAGGGCTGGAAACTCGATGGTACCATTGAGTTTCCAGTCCCATTACCAGAGCGTCGCCCAGCTACGTGCCTACGTCACGTCTGGGCGACGGAATAGTGCAGCGCCTGTGTTTTCCCCGCGGGAAGGGTCCCGCGAAGAACTATACATCCCCCGCCGAATTAAGGTAAGTACTTGGGAGCCCTGTGTGCCTGGTATGATGATGTTACTTCTAGGTGATGTCATTGCAGTGCGTGCCAGAAGATTCAGGGACCCCGGCTGGAGCCCCCCGCCGGCAACCAGGTAAAAGAGCCGGCAGCCCTATTTCCCACCCACAGGAACACAAACATTCCTGCGTTTTCCCAGTCAAGCACCCCTCTCCCGTCCTGTCTGGCCCCACTGATCATTCAAACCCATTTAAACCTTTTAAAACAAAACAAAACATGGCATTGGAGAAAGTGCAGAAAAGGGCAACTAAAAAAAGTTGAGCTGTAATTCCAGGGGATCTCCTGGTCCCCCCCGGAGGCTGGCATCCCTGTTCTTCCCCTGGCTTTTCAGATTCTCAGATGGCTCCAACCTGAAGCCATCACATTTGGCCTTGTCCAAATTATGCATGGGACAGAGCAGGTCGAGAAAGAAGTACTTTTCTCCCTTTCTCGCAAGACAAGGTGGGCACTCAATGAAATCGCTAAGCAGTCGGGTTAGAACAGATAAAAGGAAGTACTTCTTCATCCAAAAAAGTGGTTGACACATGGAATTCACTGCCACAGGAGGTGGCGGCGGCTACAAGCATTGACGACTTTAAGAGGGAATTAGACAGGGGTCATTTCCTGCGCGAGCGCACAAGAGCAGAGCTCCAGCAGTAAAGAGCCCAGGGGGCGGGCACATGCAACAAGCCCCACCCCCTGATCCCACCAGCCCTCAGTCAGAGCAAGAGCAGCCAGGTAAGTTGCAGAGCTCCCCCCGGCCCCCCGGTCCAAAACAGTCCAGTGGTACCTTTAAGACCAAGTTTTATTCAGGTACAAGCTCTCCCTCCTCTGTGAGGACAGAGCTGCACATTCCCCACCCACCCCAATAGCTAGCAATCCAAAACAGCCCAGTGGAGCCTGAGTGGTGGGTGTTGCCTTCTGACACACTTCCGGTGATGTCAGGGGGTGTGGCATATGCAAATTAGTTATGCTAATGAGTGATGCTAATGAGCTCCTGCACCTCTTTTTCTACGAAATGACCCCTGATTACACCATACCAGTTGTTCCTATTTCGTTGCCTTCCCTGCCCCCCGCAAGACAAACCACCTTGCCACAGTCACAGCTGAAGGGGATCTTTTTCAAAACCAGAAACACACCTGAAAACAAATGGACATTTTCAAACAGCTGGGCAGCTGTGCCCAAGAGGTTCACATAGGGTTGGCAGTGCTGGCTTGGGAAATTCCTGGAGATTGGGGGGGGGGGGAGCCTGGGGAGGGCGGGGTCTGGGGAGGGGAGGGGCCTCAGCAGGGCACAATTGCCATAGAGTCCGCCCTCCAAAGCAGACCCCACCTGGAGGCTGGCAAGTCCTACCTGCTGGCCTTCTCACCTCTGCCCTGCTAGCTACCAGCGCCAATGTTCCCTCTAAGCTGTGGAGTCTGGTGAGCAAAAATTCTACTTTGTGAGCTACTGGCATTAAAGTTGTGAGCGAGCGATTTGGCCACTGCATAAATCAGTGTGGCTCTGGAGCCATCTTTCCTGAGCGAAGACAAAAATGTGTGAGCCGGAGGCTAAAAAACTGTGAGCTAGCTCACACTAACTCAGCTTAGAGGGAACACTGACCAGCGCTCACCCAACCCCCCCAACCCCTCTACACAGAGGTAAAGGCAGAGATCTGGACAGGGCTGCTTGCTTCCCAGCCTCTCCGGCCCTTCCTCTGTGCCGTTCTGTCCCACATTAGCCTTGTCTGTCCCTGCCCCCCCCCCCCCAGCTTCCACCCCCGGCA